ATTCTAAATTTTTATCAACCTTTCTGTACGAACTGAAGAAGCCTACGTGTAGGCGAAACGTTTCGAAATAAAGATACCTAACTGTTGCATATGTGTCTTACCTAACAACAACCTTCCTTGGCGTCGTCCGTAGTGATGCTCCGAGTAGTCGACTCAAATTCGCCAGGTAGCATTACACCACTTGTAGAATTCGTCATGACGTTCTCGATGGTCTTCGTTGGGGTTTCTAGGGATGTCTCACTCACGTCTGCCAATGCTTCCTTGGTGCTCGTTGTGGCATTCCCAGTAGAACACTCACATTCGTCAGGTAGCACCGAGAATGAGTTGGAAGTTTCCACGGCAGTCTTCTGGTTTCTCGTTGTTTCTGCCTCTCCAACCGTTTTCTTAATCTTCAGCTTGGTTCCATGTTGCCCGACCACTGACCAAGCTCCCCTCTTAACCTGGGGACTCACAACAGGAGGATTACTACGAATCCTCTTGTTCTCCTCCGTTAATCGCCGTATCTCCAAACTTACATGAGTAAGTTTGCTGATGATACAAAGATAGGCCGTATAATTCACTCTGAGGAGGATATCAATGAACTCCAGGACGATTTGAACAAATTAATGTCTTGGTCTGAGAAATGGCAGATGAAGTTTAATGTGGATAAGTGTAAGGTACTTGCCCTTGATAATGAAAATAACCCTCGAAGCTATAATCTAGGTGAAGTAGAGCTTGGTCATACAGAATGTGAAAAAGACTTGGGAGTCATGGTAAGCAGAAATCTAAAGCCAAGACAGCAGTGCCTCAGTGTGCGCAACAAGGCCAACAGATTACTTGGATTTATCTCAAGAAGTATAAGTAACAGAAGTCCAAAAGTTATTTTACAGCTCTATACATCACTAGTGAGGCCTCATTTGGATTATGCTGCTCAGTTTTGGTCCCCTTACTACAGGATGGACATAGACTCATTAGAGAAACATACAGAGAAGAATGACTAAAATGATTTACTGTGTAAGGAACCTCCCGTATGAAGATAGACTTAAAGCCTTAAATCTCCACTCTCTGGAGAGGCGTAGAATGAGAGGAGATATCATTGAAGTGTATAAGTGGATGACGGGCATAAACAAGGGAGACATTAATAAAGTACTGAGGGTGTCGAACCAGGTAAGAACCAGGAATAATGGATTTAAGTTGGATAAATTTAGATTTAGAAAGGACATAGGTAAGTACTGGTTTTCTAACAGAGTTGTAGATGCGTGGAACAGTCTTCCCAGTGGGGTGATAGAGGCTAGGACCTTGGGTAGCTTTAAGAAGAGACTGGACAAATATATGAGTGGGAGGGGCTGGGTTTGATTGGTGTTGGGGGGTGCGGGAGTTGTTTCTTGAGTAGCTTTAGGTAGATGTCGTTTTGTTAAGGACCTGCCTCGTATGGGCCAGTAGGCCTTCTGCAGTGTTCCTACATTCTTATGTTCTTATGTTCTTATAGCTGAAACACTCGCCAAGAAACTTCTTCATCGCTATCCCACATAAGAACATAGAACACTGCAGAAGGTCTACTCACAACTTGTCCAATACCCCTGCCAAGCTACCCAAGACTATAACCCCACCCGGTAGATCATCAGATGCAGCATTCTCCACCTGACCTCAACATTCTGAACATGACTATAAATACTCACGTACCTTCCAACCCCAGGTAGATCCGTGTGTGACTTGAAAAAGCCCACTGTGTGGGTGAAACGTTGTCAATAAAGAATCACATTATACTGCATTTGTGCAGTGTAGTGCACTGAGAGTATAAGTGTAGTGCGCTGAGAGTATAAGTGCAGTGCACTGAGATAACTGTAGTGCACTGAGAGTATAAGTGCAGTGCGCTGAGAGTATAAGTGTAGTGCAATGAGAGTATAAGTTTAGTGCACTGAGAGTATAAGTGTAGTGCACTGAGAGTATAAGTGTAGTGCGCTGAGAGTATAAGTGTAGTGCACTGAGAGTATAAATGTAGTGTGCTGAGAGTATAAGTGCAGTGCACTGAGAGTATAAGTGTAGTGGGCTGAGAGTATAAGTGTAGTGCGCTGAGAGTATAAGTGTAGTACGCTGAGAGTATAAGTGTAGTTTGCTGAGAGTATAAGTGTAGTGCACTGAGAATATAAGTGTACTGCGCTGAGAGTATAAGTGTAGTGTGCTGAGAGTATAAGTGCAGTGCGCTGAGAGTATAACTGTAGTGCACTGAGAGTATATGTGTAGTGCGCTGAGAGTATAAGTGTAGTGTGCTGAGAGTATAAGTGTAGCGTGCTGAGAGTATAAGTGCAGTGTGCTGAGAGTATAAGTGTAGTGCACTGAGAGTATAAGTGCAGTGTGCCGAGAGTATAAGTGCAGTATGCTGAGAGTATAAGTGTAGTGTGCTGAGAGTATAAGTGTAGTGTGCTGAGAGTATAAGTGTAGTGTGAACATTAAAATGGTATAAAATACCGACAGGTTGTTAGGTAAGACACATATGCAACAGTTAGGTATCTTTATTGTGAAACGTTTCGCCTACACAGTAGGCTTCTTCAGTCAAGTACAGGAAAGGTTGATAGAAGCAGAAGATACTTGAAGACGATGTAATCAGTCCATCACCCTTAAAGTTTTGAGGTGGTCAGTCCCTCAGTCTGGAGAAGAGCATTGTTCCATAGTATGAAACAATATGGAGAAGAAGTGACAGGATGGAGCTTTTATAGCGCCAAGAGGTGAGACGTAGGAGAGGTAAGAACTCAGATGTTGAGAGGTCCCTCTCAAATCCAGCCCCTCTCACTAGTGGAAGTTGTCGAAGTTGATTGCAGGTCTGTACCAAGATACCCTTGTGTTGCAGTGTCTGACAGATTGAACATTAAAATGGTATAAAATACCGACAGGTTGTTAGGTAAGACACATATGCAACAGTTAGGTATCTTTATAAAGATACCTAACTGTTGCATATGTGTCTTACCTAACAACATAAGTGTAGTGTGCTGAGAGTATAAGTGTAGTGCGCTGAGAGTATAAGTGTAGTGTGCTGAGAGTATAAGTGTAGTGCACTGAGAGTATAAGTGTAGTGCACTGAGAGTATAAGTGTAGTGCACTGAGAGTATAAGTGTAGTAAACCGTATAAGTGTAGTGCGCTGAGAGTATAAGTGTAGTGTGCTGAGAGTATAAGTGTAGTGCGCTGAGAGTATAAGTGTAGTGCACTGAGAGTATAAGTGTAGTGTGCTGAGAGTATATATGTAGTGTGCTGAGAGTATAAGTGTAGTGCGCTGAGAGTATATATGTAGTGTGCTGAGAGTATAAGTGTAGTGCGCTGAGAGTATAAGTGTAGTGCGCTGAGAGTATAAGTGTAGTGCACTGAGAGTATAAGTGTAGTGCGCTGAGAGTATAAGTGTAGTGCGCTGAGAGTATAAGTGTAGTGCGCTGAGAGTATAAGTGTAGTGCACTGAGAGTATAAGTGTAGTGCACTGAGAGTATAAGTGTAGTGCGCTGAGAGTATAAGTGTAGTGCACTGAGAGTATAAGTGCAGTGCACTGAGAGTATAAGTGTAGTGCACTGAGAGTATAAGTGTAGTGCACTGAGAGTATAAGTGCAGTGCACTGAGAGTATAAGTGTAGTGCACTGAGAGTATAAGTGTAGTGCGCTGAGAGTATAAGTGTAGTGCGCTGAGAGTATAAGTGTAGTGCGCTGAGAGTATAAGTGTAGTGCACTGAGTATAACTGTAGTGCACTGAGAGTATAAGTGTAGTGCACTGAGAGTATAAGTGTAGTGCACTGAGAGTATAAGTGTAGTGCACTGAGAGTATAAGTGTAGTGCACTGAGTATAACTGTAGTGCACTGAGAGTATAAGTGTAGTGCACTGAGTATAACTGTAGTGCACTGAGAGTATAAGTGCAGTGAGCTGAGAGTATAACTGTAGTGCACTGAGAGTATAAGTGTAGTGTGCTGAGAGTATAAGTGCAGTGTGCTGAGAGTATAAGTGCAGTGTGCTGAGAGTATAAGTGCAGTGTGCTGAGAGTATAAGTGCAGTGTGCTGAGAGTATAACTGTAGTGCACTGAGAGTATAAGTGCAGTGCGCTGAGAGTATAAGTGTAGTGCGCTGAGAGTATAAGTGCAGTGCGCTGAGAGTATAAGTGTAGTGCGCTGAGAGTATAAGTGTAGTGCGCTGAGAGCATAAGTGCAGTGCGCTGAGAGTATAACTGTAGTGCACTGAGAGTATAAGTGCAGTGCACTGAGAGTATAAGTGTAGTGCACTGAGAGTAAAAGTGTAGTGCACTGAGAGTATAAGTGCATTGCACTGAGAGTATAAGTGTAGTGCACTGAGAGTATAAGTGTAGTGCGCTGAGAGTATAAGTGTAGTGCGCTGAGAGTATAAGTGTAGTGCACTGAGAATATAAGTGTAGTGCGCTGAGAGTATAAATGTAGTGCGCTGAGAGTATAAGTGTAGTGCGCTGAGAGTATAAGTGTAGTGCGCTGAGAGTATAAGTGTAGTGCGCTGAGAGTATAAGTGTAGTGCACTGAGAGTATAAGTGTAGTGCGCTGAGAGTATAAGTGTAGTGCACTGAGAGTATAAGTGTAGTGCGCTGAGAGTATAAGTGTAGTGCACTGAGAGTATAAGTGCAGTGCGCTGAGAGTATAAGTGTAGTGCGCTGAGAGTATAAGTGTAGTGCGCTGAGAGTATAAGTGTAGTGCGCTGAGAGTATAAGTGTAGTGCACTAAGAATATAAGTGTAGTGCGCTGAGAGTATAAGTGTAGTGCGCTGAGAGTATAAGTGTAGTGCGCTGAGAGTATAAGTGTAGTGCGCTGAGAGTATAAATGTAGTGCGCTGAGAGTATAAGTGTAGTGCACTGAGAGTATAAGTGTAGTGCGCTGAGAGTATAAGTGTAGTGCACTGAGAGTATAAGTGTAGTGCACTGAGAGTATAAGTGTAGTGCACTGAGAATATAAGTGTAGTGCGCTGAGAGTATAAGTGTAGTGCGCTGAGAGTATAAGTGTAGTGCGCTGAGAGTATAAGTGTAGTGCACTGAGAGTATAAGTGCAGTGCGCTGAGAGTATAAATGTAGTGCGCTGAGAGTATAAGTGTAGTGCGCTGAGAGTATAAGTGTAGTGCGCTGAGAGTATAAGTGTAGTGCGCTGAGAGTATAAGTGTAGTGCGCTGAGAGTATAAGTGTAGTGCACTGAGAGTATAAGTGGAGTGCGCTGAGAGTATAAGTGTAGTGCGCTGAGAGTATAAGTGTAGTGCACTGAGAGTATAAGTGGAGTGCACTGAGAGTATAAGTGGAGTGCGCTGAGAGTATAAGTGTAGTGCGCTGAGAGTATAAGTGTAGTGCGCTGAGAGGTGCTCCTCTGTTCCATTATTTACGTCATGTAGTGGCGGGCTCCGCGCATGCGCAGGTAAAGTTCGGCCATCTTGGTCTCTCTCAGTGTGAAGTCTCCTCCAGTGAAATTGTTTTTACTGGTAACATGACGCCACTTTATTGCTTGCAGTTGACATTACTTGCATAAGGTTGCATGTTGAGGTGGTGGAGCGGCTGGGGGTGGCCAGCGCTGAGATAACCGCCATTAACACACCAAAAGGCGCAAATATTTTGGCACGTCGTTCACCCTGGCAGGAAGAGGTTCCAGGATACGTTGTTTTGGTGGGGGAAAATTGTGAGGGCAGCGGCTGTGGCCAGGTGCTAGAGCCTGGCAGCACCCGCAGGCTTGTTGCACGGGTACTATCTGCGGTCTGCGGAAGTGAGGTAGACGGTAGTTACCACAGATGAGGCGGCAATATGGTCAAAAGTTAGGCCTCCAGACGGATGTACGGAAGAATGATACTGGTTATGTTTTTAATACGTTATCTCGTCTCTATGTTAATATTTATGTTGCAAGTTAACGCCCAGTACACAGCTTCTCTTGTATGATAACTCATGTCATGGAATGTGTATTCATTCTCTTCATACAAGGTTATATTTGTGTATGATACAGCAGTATATAATGTTTGTACCATATACTCGAGTAGTGATAATTTAGACCAAGATAAAGATCACTGTTATATAAGAGTAATATTTCAGGTGGTGAGCAGTGTTATGGGTGTTCAGCAGTGTGTTGGTCTTGTGTCTGAGAATGTTAGTAGTTTGTGAAGGTTTTCCTGCTGGTGAAGAGCTGCTAAATATATATTTTGAATATAATTATTGGCAAGCACTAAACTAACATAAATGTAAGTTTTGTTGCTACATAACTCCTGGTTGTATTTTAATAAGTCATGATCCCGTTACTTGGATAACTCGCTGTCCTTACTGACTTGAAAATAATATTTTTTGATATGCTGTTGACTACATCGACTCTAGGCTGAGGGACTGATTACCTCACGCTCCTCATCTTTTACCTTTCTTTGCATTGGACTGAAGAAACCACTGACTGACAAAACGTTTCCTGAACAATGGAAGCCAAATGTTGCACGAGTCTCATTTATTTAAAAAAAAAAAAGTTTTTGGGATATCCTGTGGACTACTAGTTTTTAAAGACTTCCACTATATAAATGTGTTTTGTTAGCTTTACCTGAGCTTGTATTGTTTCCTTCCATTTAAGTTGGGTTTGGTGTGCTGATTTAAGTGCAGTTACTGACAAGCTGAATCAGATACAGTAATAATCAACATAACTAGAGTGAGATGTGGGAAGTGAAAAGCATGGATGCCACAGGCACGAGAATGAGGCATCAACATCTTTGATCCAAGATTATCCAACCTGTACACAAATAACCTGTACATAGGTCATTGAAACTTATAACAATGTTTTGGCCCAGTTTGGACCAATAACTAGTCACACACGTGCTAAGGGAAGGCAGCCAACCTGCTACTAGCAAATATCTTATACTGATAGAACACTACCTCTGTCATGTGGCCGCTCAACTGGTGAAACATTGGGCATGTTTCATTACACCTGATGCCCCTGTTTACCTATCAATAAGTAGGTACTTAGGTGTTAATCAGCTGTTTTTGTTTACACCTTGGGGAAGAAGATTATTGGATCCCAGTGCATGGACTTTATTGGGTTTATCCTGGTGGCTGCACCTCCAGGATAAAAATCCAAACTATCTAGGCTTTGATGACTAAGGTGGACCAGCAGGCCGTCAACAGCAGTCACTAGGCAAGGGTGGAAGGGTATGTCGCAGGTATGTATTGACATTGCATTTTCAGTTATGAACCAGACACTGCATTTTCACACTTATGAACTAGAAACAAACAACTCTCTATGTACCACAGTGAGAAACAACTGGCACCACTCTGATAGTTCTCTAGGCAGCAGTTTTGACAGTGTTTAATATAAACATGAGTTATCCAACTTAAATTTAATATAGGCTATTTTAGGTTAGTGCTTGTCAGTGGTTTTACCGGCCAAATTTATGTGTGGGAGAACTCTTAGCTGGTACAAAAATAAATACCAAACTTATGACCAAACGTTGTGGTAAGCTCCTCTCTTCTATGTGCGGGTTATTTGTGTATCATTCCAGTCACGGTATTGTGCCTTTTTTGTTATTTATGACCGATTGATGACTGAAAAAGATCCTAAAGGAGTTATTTACAATATTTATAAAACCAAAAATGGATTATGCAGCTCCTGTATGGTATCCTCATTTAAGAAATATGCAGATCAGATAGAAAAAGTCTATAGAATGGGTCCTAGAGCTATAAATATTTTTTATTTCAACATGGCCATCTCCCAATGAGGCAGGGTGACCCAGAAAAGAAAGAAACACCTTCATCATCATTCACACATAATCATTATCTTTGCAGAGGCTCCAAGTTACAACAGTTTAGTGGTGTGTCTAAATAGTCAATATCCCACCTCCAGGAAGTCTGGCTAACCAGTTTCCCTGAATCCTTTCACAAAATATTACTCTGCTTACACTCCAACAACTCGTAAAGGCCCAAAAACCATTTGTCTCCACATCTATCTAGCACGTTCACACATGCTGTATGTTCAAGTCAGTTGCACGCAACACCTCCTTTACCCCCTCTATCCTTTCCTTGAACAACCCCTACCCCCTCCTCCCCCTCCACTAGAGATTTATACAACCTCCAAGTCATCCTATTTTGCTCCATCCTCTCTAAATGACAAAACCACCTCAACCACTCCTCCTCAGCCCTCTGAATAATACTTTTGGTAACTTCACACCTCCATCTTTCCAAACTATGAATTCTCTGCATAATGTTTACACCACACATTGCCCTCAAACATGACATCTCCACTGCCTTCAGCCTTCTCCTCACTACAACATCCACAATCCATGCTTCACACTCATAATAAGTGTTGGTACCACTATACTCTCATACATTCCTTTCTTTGCCTCCATGGATAATGTTCTTTGTCTCCACAGATACCTCAGTGCACCACCTACCTTTCTCCCTTTGTCAATTCTATGGTTTACCTTGTTTTTCACGTACCCATCAGCCGACACATCCACTCCTAAATATCTGAAATAAGAAGGGTTAATATTGAATTTAGGGGCTAAGTTTTGAGCTTACCAATAACCTATTATGTAAATTCTCGAATATCAAGCAGGTTGTGCATTGGAAACATAATTTGTGTGCATGGTGAAGCCCTATCCATTAGTAGGTAAAAAGACAAGTAATCCAACCTAACTTAACCTTGATAGAGGTAAATTCTAGGTTGGGTTTCATTTTGGGTTCCCCCCCAAATAGCTTCCTCCACATAGGCTTGAAAATATACCAGGAGTATACCTGGTGTATATGACTCTTGCATAACCCACTTAATGTTGGAGAGTTTGAGATAATAACTTGAGACTCAAAATTTAATACAGTATTAACGACAAGGATATGTGGTATGTATAACGTAATGTAATAAAAAGGATTATGAAAGAAAAAATTTTTTTTAGTACCTTCAGTAGGGAAAATAAGGCTAAAAGGAAGAAAAACAGACATGAATGGATACTGGAAATTTTTTCTTTATAAATTGTGGTAAAAGAATGGAATAAATTGAATGAGGAGGTACTGTAGCAAGTATTAAACCCATTGGAAATTTAAAAAAAAATAAAAATAGTTACAGGATGAACGTATTAATTTGGACGAGACACCATAGCTCTGCTTTAGCTAAAGTTAAGTACCAACAGACTCCAGATGTCCTCAAGAGGGAATTTGATAAGTGCCTCAAGCTGGCTCCTGATCAGCTAGGCTGTGATGCATATGTTGAACTGCATGCAACTAGCACCAATAATTTTGGCGATTGAACTATCCACCAGGAGGCCTGGCCTTGGACCAAGGTGCAGGGGCATTGATGCCAGAAACACTCCAGGTAATCAACTTGCCAGAAACCTGCACTTAGGAAAGGAATGCTAAGATGACATTTTGGTCTGTCCTGGAACATTTCCAAATCACAGCTTGACAGTGGCCCAGGATGGGCCAATGAAACATCCTAGTGTTGTTCTCCTGAGTACAGGTTTTTGGGGAATTTTTTCCAGCCACATTATTGTGACTTTATTCTTCCAGATAATCAGGTATATACTGGAGTTACAAATAGGCAATTACTGGCATTCCATTAACTATGTACCTCTATCCAGTTCACTGGTACCATTTTGCTTGATTCTTGGGCTGCTTGTCCTGGGTCATTGCCCTTGCAGCACAGTCCCAGACCATGTTACCTGGTTGATGGCCTGATCAGTTAAGCCATTGGTGTTGACCCCCCAAAACCCTCTCCAGGTATGCTCCAGGTATACCTCTGGCTGTCTTCAAGAGGGAGCTGGACAGACACCTAGAGTCAGTTCCTGAACAACTGGGCATTGGTTTGTATGTCAGTTTGCATGCAGTCAGTAGTAACAACCTGGTTGATCAGGCCCTGATCCACCGCGAGGCTTGGTCATGGACTGGGCTGTGAGGGCGTTGACCCCTGAAATACCCTCCAGGTATAATCCTGGTATACCACAGCTTGGCTGATCAAGAACTTACTTAAGGAACCAGGGTTCCCTCTTAAGATCACTAGGGGTCTGTTGATACATAATTCTTCCGATATATACCTGGAGAGGGTTTTGGGGGTCATTGTCCCCACAGCCCAGTCTGTGACCAGGCCTTGCAGTGGATCAGGACCTGATTAACCAAGTTGTTACTGCTGGCTGCATGCAAACTGACATATGAACTACAGCCCAACTGTCAAATACTACTGATTTTAGGTGCCTTCTTGAAAACAGCCAGAGGTCTATCGGTAATCCTCCTTATGTATGCTGGGAGGCAGTTGAACAGTCTTGGGACCCTAACACTTCTTGTGTTGTCTCCTAGCACACTTGTGGCATCCTTGCTTTTCATTGGGGGGATGTTGCATCTCCTGCAGAGTCTTTTGCTTTTGTAGGAAGTGATTTTCTTGTGCAGTGAGATTGTTTAAAATTCTGGATCCTTTGCACTTTTAATTTCATCTTTGTGCTACTGAGCCTCTTGATCTCATAGGGAGTAATTTTAGTGGGTG